GAAGGCGCGTACGTACGACTCGTCTTGGAACTGGGCTCGTCAGGACGCCCTCAACATGTACTACGACGTCATTTTCGGTCGTCTCCAGGCTGTTGACCGTGAAATCGTCAGCCAGTGCATTCGCATCATGAACCGCGCCAACCCTACATTGATCGACTTCATGCAGTACCACATGGATAATTGCCCCACCGACCGTGGTGAGACCTACAAGCTATCCAAGCAGCTGGGTCTGCAGCTCATTGAGAATTGCAAGGACGTCCTCAACGCCTCGCCCGTGTACAAGGACGTGGCTGTACCGACCGGGCCTCGCACGACCGTCGACGCCAAAGGCAATCTGAAGTATGAAGAGGTCCAGCGTCCGAGCTGCCGCAAGCTGGAGCACTACGTCCAGCAGATGGCTGAGGGCGGCAAAATCTCCGAGTACGGCAACAGGACCAAGGTCCAAAACGACCTCAAGCGCATCTACAAGCTCATCCGTGAGCAGCACAAGATGTCCAAGACCTCACAGCTCGAGATCAAGAGCCTCTACGGTGATGTTCTGCGCTCTCTCAGCATGAGCGAGAGTCAGATTATCCCCAAGGAGAACGGCAAGCCCAACGGTGTTAAGAAGGTCAGAACCAACGGTCCCGGCAAGGGCAAGGTTGAGACCATTCCCTTCCTGCACCTGAAGCGCAAGACTCTCCACGGCTGGGACTACAGCAAGAAGCTCACGGCATCGTACCTGACGTGCCTCGAGGAAGCTGCCAGAGACGGCGTCACCTACGCTGGCAAGTACGTCCTGATGACCGGCGCTGGCGCTGGCTCCATCGGAGCCGACGTTCTTCAGGGCCTCATCAGCGGTGGTGCTAAGGTCGTCGTAACCACCAGCCGCTTCTCGCGCGAGGTCACCGAGTACTATCAGTCCATGTACGCTCGCTACGGTTCCAAGGGCTCCCAGCTTGTTGTCGTTCCTTTCAACCAGGGCAGCAAGCAGGATGTCGAGGAGCTTGTTCAGTACATCTACGACACGAAGACTGGTCTCGGCTGGGATCTCGATTTCATTATCCCCTTCGCTGCTATTCCCGAGAACGGCCGCCAGATTGACAACATTGACTCCAAGTCTGAGCTGGCCCACCGTATCATGTTGACCAACCTCCTGCGTCTCCTGGGTTGTGTCAAGATCCAGAAAGCTGAGCGTGGTTTCGAGACCCGCCCTGCCCAGGTCGTTCTTCCCATGTCTCCCAACCACGGTACCTTCGGTAACGATGGTCTGTACTCCGAGTCGAAGCTGGCACTCGAGACCCTGTTTAACAGGTGGCACTCCGAGGACTGGGGTCACTACCTCACCATTTGCGGCGCCGTCATTGGTTGGACTCGTGGCACTGGCCTCATGGGCGGCAACAACGTTGTTGCTGAGGGTGTTGAGGCCTTTGGCGTCCGCACCTTCTCTCAGCAGGAGATGGCGTTCAACCTCTTGGGTCTTCTGGCCCCTGCCATCGTCGATCTCTGCCAGTCCGAGCCTGTATTTGCCGACCTGAACGGTGGTCTTCAGTTCATCCCCAACCTGAATGAAACCATGACCAGACTTCGCAAGGACATAATGGAGACGAGCGAGACCCGTCGCATCGTCGCCAAGGAGAACGCCATTGAGAACAAGGTCGTCAACGGACCCGATTCTGAACTCCTGTACAAGAAGAAGCTCATCGAGCCCCGGGCCAACATGAAGTTCGACTTCCCCCCCCTCCCCGACTGGGATGCTGAGATTGCTCCTCTCAACGACAAGCTCAAGGGTATGGTCGATCTTGAGAAGGTCGTCGTCGTCACCGGTTTCGCCGAGGTTGGTCCTTGGGGCAACTCCCGCACCCGTTGGGAGATGGAGGCTTATGGCGAGTTCTCTATCGAGGGCTGTGTTGAGATGGCTTGGATCATGGGTCTCATCAAGAACCACAACGGCCCCATTAAGGGCAAGCCATACTCTGGATGGGTTGATGCCAAGACCGGTGACCCCATTGAGGACAAGGACATCAAGCCCAAGTTCGAGAAGCACATTCTCGAGCACTCGGGTATCCGTCTCATCGAGCCTGAACTCTTCGATGGCTACGACCCCAACCAGAAGCAGCTTCTCCACGAGGTCGTTATTGAGGAGGACCTCGAGCCCTTCGAGGCATCCAAGGAGACTGCTGAGGAGTTCAAGCGCGAGCACGGAGACAAGGTGGAGATCTTTGAGATTCCCGAGTCTGGCGAATACATTGTGCGCATGAAGAAGGGCGCTGGCCTTAGATTCCGAAGACCCTTCGTATTTGACCGCCTCATGCTGGCCAGATCCCCACAGGCTGGGACGCAAGAAGTACGGTGTCCCGGAGGACATCATCGACCAGGTCGACCCCGTCACCCTCTTTGTCCTCGTCTCCGTCGCCGAGGCGCTTCTTTCGTCTGGTATCACCGATCCCTACGAATTTTACAAGTACGTCCACGTCTCCGAGGTGGGCAACTGCATTGGCTCCGGTATGGGAGGTGCTGGCGCGCTCCGTGGTATGCACCGCGATCGCTTCCTCGACAAGCCAGTCCAGAACGATATTCTCCAGGAATCATTCATCAACACCATGGCCGCTTGGGTCAACATGTTGCTCCTCTCCTCGTCGGGTCCCATCAAGACGCCTGTTGGTGCTTGCGCCACCTCCGTCGAGTCGGTCGACATTGGTTATGAAACCATCATGGAAGGCAAGGCCAAGATTGTCTTTGTCGGTGGTTTCGATGACTTCGGTGAGGAGGGCTCTTACGAGTTCGCCAACATGAAGGCCACCAGCAATGCTGTTGATGAGTTGGCTCACGGCCGTACGCCCAAGGAGATGTCCCGCCCCACCACCACCACCCGTAACGGCTTCAGTG